AAAGGAACAAGAAACAATCTGCAACTTCTTCAAGAAAGTAAGGAACTGTACCCATTGCTGCCTGATAATCATAGACTATCAGGTGTTAATTTTGTCTTGTCTGGCAACAAATTAACAAATAGGAAGAGGCATAAAAAAAAATTTGCTTGAGAGGTAGTCATATTTCAATTAGGAGTTCTGTATGCAACTGTTTTTTGTTAGAAGTCAAAAGCATAGGGTTCCTCAAATCAAACTGTAGCTACTGAACACTCTGAAGGCATACACTTAGCCTTCATAGCAGTGATTGTGATAGAAATGAATTCAGATAAAGCAATCAGAATGCTTTTGGAGGAGACAGTCCAGGTAGCAAAGAGGGTAGCATTGGAACTGGCCTCAGCCCTGACCATTCTGCTGTCTGTGAAGCCCTCTGCCTGCTGACATCCACTACTTCAGGGTGGATAATCTCATTTGCAGCCCCAATGCTGGTTTCTCTGCTGGATATTTTGAAACGACTTATAGAAAAATTGATAAAGGCGTTTCACTGTGTATACTCATAGCAAGGAGTAAGGAGTAAGGATATACTTAAGGCTGAAGATGAAAGAAAAGTCATTAGAAACCATTGCCTTCAATTCAAATTCTCTCAGTTGAGCAGAATGAGGTCTTTAGTACTGATTCCCATGGGGACAAGCAAAAACCAAACACTCCATGTCACCTGAAAAGATATTTGGTCAGTACCAAAACCTGTATCAAGATTGTTACAGGCTTCATGTAACTTCTCAGTGATCTCTTCTAGCACTGATTCCTTTCTCCTGTCAAAAGATAACCACAAAGTGCCCTGGAATTCCATTTAAATTTCAACCATACCTTGTAGCATTTACACTCATAGGGATATCCATATTCATAGACAACTATTCAGTAAGGAGCCTGGAAAGATTATGAAGTCTTTGATGTATCTGATTAGTTTCATTCTGCAAAGCAAGAAGTATTTTAATTTTTGTTGTTGCTTTTACTTAAATTTTAGAATTTCTATTCCAGAGTTAGCTGGGGCAAGGACCTTGACAACTTGAGTACAAGAGCTTCTTCTTTTAACTCTTCTAAGGTTCCCTTAATGATAAAAGTATCAAATAGAGGCCAAGTACAAGAAAATACAAGTGCAGTGATCTTACTCTTTGTCCTTGCCTGTGGGATGTCTATAATGGCGTCAGTATCTTAATGAAACACCTACCCCAACACTCAAACAAATTGAAAAATGTAATTTTGCTTTGTTTTACAATTCATTGAATTATTGTTGGAAACATGGAGAACCTGATAAGACTGATCTTCTCACATGCTTATTCTTATTTCTGAATAGTTTAAATGAAAGTCAAAAACTCTTTTTTAGTATCATCAATTTAGAGAAATTATAGGAAAAAACCTTCCCAATGACTAAAGACAAGAATATTTTTAATGAAAAATCCCAAACGAACTCACTGTTTTCAATTTTGCAGTAGGAATTTTAAAAATTGGGATGGAAAATCAGCATTTTCCTGGCAAACTCTTGTATCATCTATCATGTGCACAGTTAAAACTCCAGCTAGAGATGGTAATGAATCGGCCTATTGTGATTGAAAACAGATAAAATGCTGGAAAGCTTCGTTCACAGCTGCCGGAGGACTACCCAAAAAAGTGATGATGTATGATAGTAAAGAATGGAGACACCACTTTTTGAACAGAGATTACTTAAGATTGCTTTTCAGTCATTGTATTAGAAAATATGATAGGTTCATTGAGGTAACATTTTTTTCCAGTAGTAGATAGGAGAAAAATATTCAGCTTAGATATTCCTAGTGGGTTTGTAACATTTATCATATATAGGTAACATGGAGAGAATAATTGGAGGAGATAAGCATTTTGAATATTTTTTAAAGAAGATTGCATATAATTAATTACCACAGTATTGCATGCATGAAGAAACAACTCCATTAAAACTTCCTTGAAATTTGAGAGTTTTTCCAAGGCTTTTCTCTTTGAAAGAAGTTATTTTTCTAGCACAGTAATCTGCGTGGAATACGGAGAAAAAATATAAATTACACTAGAGAAGATCTTGGAGGAGGAGCTTGACTGTAATATTTTCAGTTGTGACCTCTGTAAATAATCATTGTACTATTGTACTAAAAAAATACTTGAATTTTTAAAGTCTGTATAAATGAGAATTGAATTTTTCTGCTGAGGAGATCGTGGATGTGGACTCCAAAGTCTAGAATGTGTCTCCATGTTTTCTGTTGAACCCCTTTCACCTAATGCAATGTGCTGATAGCACTAGCTGTTTATTCAGTGTTTGTCTGTTTACCTTATCTACACTGCAAGTGCTTAAGATATCTGTACAAGCTCTTACAATGTCTTGTTAAGGTGCCACACTTATTGGAGCTGTGATGCAATAAAACATTCTGAATGTCCTGCAGTGTCAGTGACATTCAAAGATCTGTGTCACGTACGGACCCAAATGTATGTTGGCTGAGTCAGTGAAATATCTGAGTAAAGAAAGACCGGAGAAAATGACAGATTTTTCATAGGATTTTAGAAATAGCCTAGTATAAGGCAGTTGACCACATAGCTTAGAAAGGAATTGATGGTATACAGCAGAGGGATCTAGCAAGGAGAGTGACAAGGTTAGCAGGGTAGATGTTTTCTATTGGTGAGGGGAAAAGAGAACCAATGAAGTATTAGAAGGCAGGAATTAATGGATGTATGCAAGCTAGAGATATAGCCTGGAAATAAGATGGTATTTTTACTCTGATACATTCCTACCCCACTTATAGTTCGGAAGAGATGAAGGAGTGTAGCTGGGTAGAAATATGGACCTATCTTTCTGTGCTTTATATTCTTATGTGTCAGAGCTGAGTCCTTCAATGACCCCCGGTGTGAACATCATAGCCATGCAGAGACCCTGTGGCCTCTTCGAGGACATATCTGCTCCTCAGCATATTTTTAACATACAGTTTTCCTTGAAGTGCATAGAGACATTGCTGCAGTCATCCTTGTCACACTTTCAGCACATAGCCAGATTATTGCCTGGCATTAGCAGATTGACAGACTCCAGGATCCTGGGAATGTTGCCCTTTGTGAATACATCAAAATCTTCATTATTTTTCTAGCAAAATACAGGGCACTGTGAACAGAATGCAATCCAAATTCTGAATGCTGTCTCTGTGACAGTAGCATGCACATCTCAGCGTCTGGTCTATGAGAGATGTGCCAGATTCCAGGGCTCAGTCTGGGATGTGAATGTCTGGTCCCAATCTAACCACAGAGTCCTGTGGTTCTCTATAGGTAACTCCTGGTAACTGGCTGCTCACTTAGTAAATGTGTTCAGTAAAGCTATCTTTTGCCAAACAAACTTTTTTCGTACCTGCCCCTTGGCATTAGGGAAAATTATCTCTTGGCCTGCTCTCTCCTATTCCTCTGTACTTAAGAGTCTAAGGAAAAAAAGCCCTATTCTTGATTTTTCCTCTTTCTTCTGTCTTTCTTCCCTTCATAGGAATCATCTCTTCCCCTGTGCTTTCTGTTTTACCTCTGGTAAGAAACTCATGGTTATAACCTATGCTCTTGCTTCATAACAGAACAGACCTGTGGCACCTCAAAGCTGAAGTGTTTTTTTCACCATTTCTGCTTGACTCTGCTATAATGTGAAGTGTGATGAGATGAGGAGGGCAGCTGTAACTGATAAAGAAAGGTCTGCAGGAGGGTTTTGAAGGTGAGGTGCACCTCTGGATGCAAGATTGGGTCCACAGCTATTGGGCAACATAGCAGTATTGTTCAGAGTAGAAAAATCATAGGTCGTGAAGGCAGGAGGCCCTCCAGCGGGTGGAATCCTATGAGACAGAATGAGAGTGAAATGATTTTACCTGCAGCAAATTGATCCTGTAGAGTATAATTGTAGCAAGAAAAGTGCTTTGAAGGACATTTATAAGAAGAACATGGAGTAGGCAGAAGAATTAAATTTACCTCCTTACAACCTCTCTGGACTTATTAGTGTCTCCAGTGTCCAGGAACAGTGCAGAGTGGGAAGAAAAGTAACCATGAAAGCTCAGATTGGCACTTTAGTTATGACTCTAGCAGCAGTTTTGAGAATATGGATCACACTATGTCTCATTATTCATATATTGAATTCCAAAGTGTGCTCAGTGTTCATTGGCCACTAAAATTGTGATAACAATTGGAGAAGGACATTGGGATGGGCTACATCACTTGGGATGTGGGCTTAGATATTTAGCGTGTGTTTTACTGATTATCTGGGGTAGATAGCCATGTCTCTTGAGTATTTACATCCTGACTATTTGTGGAAGCATAGGAAATGTTTACCAAAAAATTAATTAGGGTAACTTTGCTGTCTTCTTGCCACACTTTTTTTCTATAGGCTCTGACTGCATAACAGTAACTTGAATACATCAGTGACCTGTGGTACTGAGAGTGACTAGTATGAAAGGGCTTCAATGCTCTCATCCCTCAAAACAGGGTGAATGCATGAAAACTTCTACCTGAGTTTTGCTAACTTTCCAAATGCACCAGGTTATATAGAAAAGTACCAGTATATTCAACAGTTTTGTTTTCTTTAAGCAGGGATCTGGTTACTGTAGTTTGACTAATCGTCAGATTTTTACTGATTCATAGTACCTCTTCATGCATATGTTCTTTAAATATAGAAGTACATGAATTGTTATAAATAATGAGACATTCAAATATTTTATATGATTCTTTAGGCAAAATATTATAGCATTTTAAACTGAAAGATAATATGAAGTTGCATAACTTGCATAAGGCCACACAGCAAGTCATTGGCACAGCTAATTATTGGTATATTTTTCTAACTGTACTTTTTACTGTTTCTATAATCTACTACCTGTACAAACTTCTTACCATAGCACATTCAAGTTTGTAGGAATAATATGTTCATTCGCTAACATATTTGCCTGCTGTAACCAGTCTGCTAAATCTGATTTTGCTCCTCTTCCATCAAATACTCATTGCATTTCTTGTTACAGAGTCTGACACTGGGGATATCTGGCAATCAGCTTACACATTCATTGGTTTGCATAAGGGGAGGAGACAGGACTGCACAGTGGCAGCAACTATGCAAACAACTCATTTCACTCTAGCTCCCCCAGGTAAGAGATTCTTTCAAAGGAGATCATTGAATTTACCTGTTTCATATTTCAGTCACCACTATCTGATACCCAATTGCACATAAAGCATCTGGTGTAAGCAAAACTAATTTGGATCTTCTTTTATAAAATGCAAGCTGGATTAAGGGATCAGGTAGCCTCTTTCCTTACAAGAATCACTAGAGGGAACCATACTGTGAAAAAGATAAAATAATTAGGACAGCAGAAAACAGGCAGCATGGATCTCAACTGCAAATATTCTTGTGTAAACTCAACCTATAAAATTATATTAGTTTGCTTATCAAGCAAGCTTCTTTTCAAATTAAATAGCTACCTATATTACACTGACTGTATTGACACCTGTGACTTATATTCTAGATGTTTTCCAGCTCTTATGAGCTTGAATTCTTATCACATAGGCAAAAAGATTAATATTCCAGTGCCAGTTTAGTGTTTGAAATCATTCTGGGGGGAAAAGGTAACATAAAGTAGTACTAGACTTTGTCAAATGGAGTATGTAATGCTCACATTTATAGCAGAATAACACGACAAAAGTTACTAAAAGTGAAGCTGCTGGCCAAAGTCTGAATTATATTGCAAGGATTCCTAGGAACTACTGCAATCTAGATAATTAATAGAAAGCCACAAGAACATACAGAAGTGTTATACGTTTTTAAATGAATTTATACAACAGATTTTTATGTGTGATCACAAGATTCTACAGAAATCTACTGTGAATTTTTAAAAATGACATTAATGCTCTTGCATGTTGGTAGCTATGACTGAAATGACACATCACACACAGTTATTTGTGTTTAGTTTGTATGCATTTCAGAAGATTTAGGTTTTTTTTCCCCCTGCACAGTCACAATGTACCCAGCATGTTTTCAATTTCATGTCGGTATTAACACTGAAAAAATCAAATATATAAAGAAAATAAAATGGTTGCATTGAAAGGGCTAGTTCTCATCCCTGTGTAAATAATGTTTGTTTAAAGAAAACCATAAAATGTTTTCATCACAATCGAACGACTCAGCTCACTACTACTAAATTAGAGGTTTTGAAAAAATTTGTCCCATTATGTTTTTATATCCTTTATAGTGCTTTACACATCTGCAAAATGTGGTCTAACTTCCCATGTTTCTTAGTCCATTCCACAACTCACCAAATTTGGGAAAAGAATAAGCAAATACTAAGGATTCTCTTATCCAGCTAAATCATATTCATTACAGAAATGCTCAATTTTTTCTTTCTATGTGGTATACTACTTATTTCCTTTATAGCTCTGCCATACTGTAATTAAACTTGTCTCAGTCTTTCTGTTATAACCCTTTACACTCAATAGCTCTGTGGTTGACATAAAATTTACTCCAGTCAGCAAGTCTACAAAGTATCCTTTTAAAATATACTTCCTGTTCTTTATGAACCTGAAACAGAATTACCATTTTCTGGAACAAATGTTAACACAGTATTACAATGGACTGTTAATCTTCCTGTTCAGCCTTCAGAATTCCCTGTAGCCTCTGTTCCCACCACTGATCTGAACTTAGAAACAGCAAAACCCCAACAGAGTGCTCTGTTTCCTTTCCCTTTCACGTAAGAGTAATTCCCCGATTTTAAATGTTCTTTTAAACATTTGATTTCTGGGTAAACATTTTGTGGTCCTATGTGCCAATTTAGAATGGTTCTTATTTAGAAGTATTCTATAGAGTTTATAATAAATAAATAAATAAAAACAATAGAAAAGACACTTTTGTATTTGTACTTTAGTTCTTGAAGAGAATAAGACATAAATGTAGCAAGGGAAGCTCATGGGATTACCCTGGTGATAATAAAATAAAGGTATATTTCGGAACTGATTTTATACTATTCTCTGTATATTAAGTGTGCAGACTCCCTCTGAGGAGGAAGAACTACGTTTTTTTGCCTGGGAAAGCTTACTAAATCTTGCAAGTGGTTTTATTGTTACGTTTGTGTATGTCACTGGATGAAGAGGATAGAGTGAAGACAAAAGCTGTAGTAGCATCTGAATTTATTTTTATATTTGAGATTTTTCTTCAATTATCTGAAATGTCAAGGACCTGTCCTGAGGCTAAAAAGCCTCAAAAACATGGATGCTCTGAAGAATTTGAAGAAAATGTACTCTTGAATATTGCAATAACTTCTGTTTACCACAAGGTGGTATAAAACTGTAGCCGTCTTCAGTACCAGTAAATTCTACCAGTAAATGATCCATATTCCTAGTTTGGGTGTCATTCACATCGTGTTTTGTTGTGCTGTATCTCCTTATTATCAGTGTGGCTGTTCAGCAAAACCAGGTAGCTCCTTGAGGTACCCTGCTACCAAGTAGCAGAGAAGCAATGGCATGATGTAAGGTGTAGGTTTTCACACATAACAGGCTTTGAGCAGTATAGCTTTTCCTAGTTGCCCTCTGAGAAGACTCCTCTGGAAGACCACACACAAGGAATAGGTAAAGGTTTGGGTCTGGATGAGTTAATCTGGTGTAAGAAATGACTGTTGCTGAATAATGCCACTATCAGGGAGCTAAAATGTGAGACTTAATAACTGTGTTGAACATACTCCAACAGAAGATTCAGAATGCCTTTTATGTAGCTAAGTTACTTGCAAGAGAGACTTGAAAGTAAAGGTGGTATAAAGGTAACAGAAGTCTCTCTTAATCACCAGAAAATTTTCCCCTGAATTTGTGTAAAATGAATTTTGACTTTTTTTTTACTTTTTTTTTTTCCATGTCAGAATCTGGTCCCACATCCTCTGCAGCTGCAGAAGAATTCAAACAGGCTTTTTTTTTTTTTTTTTTTTTTTTTTTTTTTTTTTTTTTTTATGCCTCCTGTCATCTACAACAGCTGTAGATAGAGTAACACACCTGTTTTGGAGCAGATAAACTAAGTGTGCTTTTGATTTGTGTCTGTCATGACAGACAGTGTGTGAGAAAAGGAGTTGCAGTGGAGCTACAAGAATTGTGATTACAGCCCAGTGTTTTGCTGAAATGAGGTTGTATGTGGTCTTCTGTATTTCTACTATTGCACCATCTTTTGTCAAGGAAAGCTCATTCTAAACAAAAATCCCAAGTAAAAATTAGAAGCTGTATTTCGTAGGCCAAAAGTAACGAATCACATCAGAGATAGTTCTTGCTTCTTCCTTCATCTACTTTGCCATTGCTGTCATAATTGTGTAGCATTTAATATTAAATAATTTTCTACTATGGCACACTTAAGTATTACCTGTTAGGTTGGGAATGGTTGTTTTGAGGAACGTTAGGGTAAAATCCAGCTTCAGGAACTACCCCCGAAGAGAGAGATTTCTTAATGTAAAATAAATGATAAGCAGCCCTTGTACTGAAAATTCCTGTCAGTATTTCTATTTTGCACATAGAAAAGGGACAATGATTTTTAAAAACCAAAATATTAAGAAATACTAGCAAATAAATTCTTTTACTTGTATACACAGATAAAAATTGTATTTCTACGATAATATAATCTTATGAAGTAATTTTATTAAACATGCAATACAGATCTTAATATAGGCTTTGTTAACATTCTCATCCATATTTTAGTTTTCACGAAAATATAAAATTGGTTTACAATCTATCTTCCTAAAGAAAAAAGGGATGACTATTTGAATGTCATAGTTCAAAGGGAATAGTGCTAGAACAACCTTTCACCATTCTTCTAAAAAACCTTTTTTTCTTTTTTTAAAAATGTCCCATTTTCATTATGATATTTTAATATTCCTCTTTAGGCTGTAAAGTCACCCACATTTCTGGGTCCTGTAGAGTACAAAATGAACTGGCTACAAAATGGTTTTTCTGCAGAGACAGAAATCTATAATCTCAGTAAAATTTGAGACTAACAGAAAATACATCAGGAACTTCAGGGAATGTGAAACTATGACTGGCAAGCTGTCATTAAATAAAGTCTTTAAGCAAACCATGTAAAAAGGCCAAGATTTAAAGCAGTAGCTGTCACTGAAGTTATCCTAGTTCTTAGAAGCCTGGGATTAAGAAGGGACAGAAGAATGTTGTTTGATAACAAGTGCACTGTCATTTAGCAAGCCAGCACGGACCACGGGTAGTTTCTCTGTAAATAAATCTACAGCCATAAGCACTCAGTCCTGTTTTGTAGTCTTCCTCACCTGGTATGTATTTGTCTTTTTCTTTAAAATAAGGAAATCAAAATTTCTTTTCACTTAAACTCCTTTCAAGTAACTTGTTTCCTTGTGTTCTTTTTTTAACATGCAATACTATTGATCTCTCCAATTGAACTTCTGATTGCCTTTCTTTCTTTTCCCAAAAGGAATAGACAAATTGACTGAGGCATGGAATGTGGAAAAGGAGGCAGAAAAAAATGCAATCATTTGGTTCAGATTCTTGTCAGCGCTCATAGAGCAAACCACTTTATTACATTGTCATAGTCTTCTTGAATAACTGTGGCAGTTCCTTTAATTTCTCTGTACAGTGTGAGTAATTATACTTATTTTATAGCTCAAGGATACTGTGAAGATAAATGCATTGAAAATTGAGAAGTATCCTTACACTATCTCCTATAAGAGAAGCTGGATGAATTTCTGAGAAAGAGAGAAAAAAATGGAATTGACTCATAAATTACATTACTTTTAGAGGTTGCTATTTTGTAGTTCTATCTCAAATGCAGATGGAATATACTTTTAGGACTTCAACTGTCAAGATTCTTATGGCCTGCCTTAGCTCTTTTCTCTGTCACTGTGTTGGTTGCTGTAAATCTTATACTTAGTGACTTACCTGTATTGACCTAAAGTGTATGGAAAGTGGAACTTATCAATCTGTACTGCTAAGACCAACCCTCAGGGATCTCTGACCCAGGAGAGCAGGGTTTATGAATGTTGGGAGGAAGGCTTTCCCTTGGTCAATGAGGATTGTGTCAGAGAACACCTAAACAAACTCGACATCCACAAGTCCATGGACCCTGATGCAATGCCGAGAGAGCTGGCAAACATCATAGCTAGGACACTTATAATCATAGCTAGGACATGGAGATCAGGAGAGGTGTCTGAGGAATGGAAGAGAGGAAATATCACCCCAGTTTCACAAAGGACAAGAAGAAGTACCCAGAGAATTACTGGCCAGTCAGCCTCACCTCAATCCCTGGAAAGGTGATGGAGTGCCTCATTCTGTAGGCCATCTCTACCCAAACTGATGACATGAAGGTAATCAGTAGTCAGCATGGATTCATTACAGGTAAACTGTGCTTGACCAACCTGGTTACCTTCTATAATGAAACTACCTGGATGGATGAGAGGAAAGCAGCGGATATTGTCTGCCTCATCTTTAACAAGGGTTTCATCACTATCTCTCACAATATCTTAATAAGAAAACTTGGGAAATGTGGACCAGATGAGTAGACAGTGAAGTGGATTGAGAACTGGCTGAACCAGTGGGTTGTAATCAGTGGCACAGTGTCTAGCTGGAGGCCCGTTACTGGTGGTGTCCCACAGGATTCTATACGGGGCCAGTATTGTTTAACTTGTTCACCAGTGAAGGGGTAGATGCCTCTTCAGCAAGTTCACTGATGACACAAAGCTGGGAGCAGTAGCTGATACCCCAGAGGGCTGTGCAGCCCTTCAGTGGGACCTCAACAGATTGGAGAGATGGGCAGAGAAGAACTTTTTGAAATTCAAAAAGGGGAAATGCTGGGTCCTGCACCTGGGGAAGAATAACACCCTGTACCAGAACAGGCTGGGGGTCAACCTGATGGAAAGCAGCGCTGGGGAGAAGGACTCAGGGGTCAACAAACTGTCCGTGAGCCAGCAGTGTGCCCCTGTGGCCAAGAAGGCCAATGGTTTCCTGAGGTGTATTAGGGAAAGCATTGCCAACACATCCAGGGAGGTGATCCTGCCCCTCTACTTAGCCCTAGTGAGGCCTCACCTGGAGTGTTGTGTCCACTGTGGGCTCCTCAGTATGAGACATAAAGCTCCTGGAGAGGGTCCAGTGGAGATCTATAATGTTTAGGGGACTGAAGCATCTCTCTTATGAGGAAAGGCTGAGGCAGCTGGGCCTGTTTAGCCTGCATAAAACTGAGAGGGAATCTCACAAATGTATGTAAGTATCCAAAGGGAGAGTGTCAAGAGGATGGAGCCGGGCTCTTCTTGGTGGTCCCAACTACTAGGACAAAAGACAAGGGGCAGAAACTGATGCACAAGAAATTCCACCTAAACACGAGGAAGAACTTCTTTACCATGTGGGTGACCAAGCACTGGAACAGGTTGCCCAGAGAGGTTGTGGAGTCTCGCTCACTGCGGATACACAAGATCTGTCTGAACACAATCCTGTGTCATTTGCTCTAGAATGACCCTGTTTAAGCTGGGAGGTTGGACCAGATGACCCACTGTGGTCCCTTTCAATGACACCCATTCTGTGATTCTGCTATTTGACTTTATTTTTGTTTTACTTTGGCTTAATTTGCTCTACTTTTTTGTTTGTTTGTTTTACATTAGTTTGGGGTTTTTTATATTTTTTATTTTCATTGGAGTTTTACATGGGGGTTTTAGGTTGGGGTTTTACGTTGGGGTTCTACTTTTTGCTTCTTTTATTTACTTTGGTTTAGTTTGTTTTTTTCTTTTGTTTTACATTTTATGTTGGAGTTGTATACTGGGGTTTTACATTAGGATTTTACATTTTATTTGTGTTTTATTGTTTACTTTGGTTTAATTTGGATTACTTTGGTGGGTTATTGTTTTGCTTTTGTTTAGTTTATGGTATTTTGTTTTATGTTGGGATCTTACTTTGAGGTCTTTAGTTTTTTATTTTTGAGCTTATAATTTTTGTTTGAGGTTTTTGGTTTTTATTTTGGTTTACTTTGTTAGGTTTTTTGTTTGTTTTACACTGTTTTACATTGGGTTTTTATTTTTTTGTTTTATGCTGTTTTATACTGTGCTTTGCATTTTATTTTCGTTTATTTTTGTTTACTTTGGTGTGTGTTTCTTTTTTATTCTACTTTGTTGCAGTGTTTTTGCTGTTTGAGGTTGGAGTTCTACTATTTCTAGTTTTTTGCTTACTTTTGCTTAGTTTATTTTGGTTTAATTTAATGGGATTTTTTTGTTTGCTTGCTTTCCTTTTTTAGTTTTTAGTTTTACCTTGGTTTTTACTTTGGGGACTTAATTTGAGGTTTTAGGTTAGTTTTTTTCTTTTACTTTGTTTCACTTTAATTTTTTTTGGAGTTATTTTTTTTCTGTTTCCTTTATTTCTTATTTTACATTGGGGTCTTATTGTTTCTTTTCTTCGTTTACTTCATATTTGAAAAAAAGTTTTGGTTTACTTATTGTTTTTTGATTTTTCATGTTGGGATTTTATATCAGGCTTTGATATGGGGATTTTACTTCTACCTTGTTTTTTTTTGTTCAGTTCAGTTTACTTCGGGGTTTTTATTTTTTGTTTTACATCAAGTTTTGCATAAGGATTTAATGTTGAGGTTTTACATTGATGTTTTACTTATTGTAGTGTTTTTTATTATTTTGTGTTGTGCCTTTTTTTTTTGTTGCATTTCACTGTCTGATGGGGTTTATTGGAATTTTATATTAGGAATTTACTTTTTTTTTTGTTTATTTTGATTTACTCCTTTAGCTTTTTAATTTTTGTTTTCCTTTAGTTTGAGTTTCGGGGTTTTTTGGTGTTGTATGTTGGAGCTTTACAGGTTTTTCTTTCCTTTTTTTGTTTACTTTTGTTTTCTTGGCTTTGGTTTTATTTGTTCTCTGTTTTACTTTGTTTTTTGTATTTTTGCTTAACATTAGGGGTTAATGTTGGGGTTC